GTCTCACAGGGATTGAGTGTTTTTGAAATCAAATTGCTAAGTTAATTCTATTCAAGTTTTAAGAAGAAAACTAAAGTTGATTTTAAGATGTTAAAAACTAATAATAATCTGACTGTAAGAAAATGAACAACAGAGATAAAACTAATTAATAACAAAATGTGCAAATAAAATTGGTCAAAGTCACTGTGCGTGGCTCACAATTGCTAAATTGTCTCCTATCAATGTTGCGCGATGCTGCAGCAACGGACGGCAACGAAGACTTCTTGTTAACCAGATTTACTAAACCAGGGATTTTCGAATCCTCTGTCTACCGATCTTAAAGCTAAATTTCACAAATCTCTTTGTAAATTTAGGCTCTAAAATCAGGGAATGAAGCTCTAAATCATATGGTTATGCAAGACACAATATATTTCTATATCATGTGAATCAAATATTTAAAACATCTAAGAACTTGCACTATTCAAGCTGTGTCCACTCAATTAAATCTTCCCAGATCTAATCAAAGTTATACTCCCCTCTTATGATTTCCCAATCATAGTTAAGGCACAAATTCAGCTCACTTGAATAAACAAAGAAATAATCATCAGATCCATTCAACATCAACTAACATTTTAATATTTAACAACTCAACAATCTCAGCCAACAAATCATAATCTCATAGAGTTATATATATGGATTCGAGTTCAGATTTATAGAGGAACGTAAATATTTTTTAACAAAGTAAAACAGAGTAATGAGAGTAAGAGAAACTAAGGTGAAGAGAGGAGAATCATAATCTCCCTTTTCCAAGATTTCTTCTAAACGCTTCTTTCATCCACAATGAACCTTCCTTTACGTTCAACACCCTGTGACGTTTCTTTCTTCTTCTTTCCAGTACTGGAGCTGGTACTTGATCAGAGAAATGGAGGTGGTTTCCTTTTCCAAGTTCAGCCGCCTCTACGTTACAAAATATGACCAATGACACCTTCTTTCTTCTCAGCTGCAGGTACTTATTGTACCCTAATTCCACGTGGCAGCACATGAGAAAGCCTCCAATGAGTGGCTCAATCAGCACCCTTCACGGACAAAATCAGCCCATTAACCAGCTCAGGTCCAGCTGTCAGCAAAACACATGTCTGGCCCAGCTTGTCTTACTGCAGCAATGCATAGCAATGCTGACTAGGATTCCTTCATACTCCAAAAATGAAAAGCTACTCAAAGCTCCAAACGACCACGTTTTCTTAAAGCTGAGATTAACCACAAAGTGCACCTGAATTAGCTCTTTTTAAACGATAATCATGAGAGAGAGAATTTATGAAACACAAATAACTAAAAACTATTAACAAGACAAAATATAAGAGTAAACTAATATTAATTACCCTCTAGGTAATAATTTAAGCCTGTAAAATGCTCAATTAACTCTATTTTCATAGAGTTATCACTTACCTTCATATTATATAATTTAAATATCTTTATTTTTCTTAACACTTATATTTACAACCAATTTTCTCATTTTTATATTTGCAGCTGAAAGAAATGAAATGCTCAAGAATCACAATAACATTGTATTTTATTTTGTACAATTTGTATATATATATTATAAATAATAATACTATATATATATATATGTATAAATAAGTTTGTATAAATTTTATATCTATCATATAATACAATATTGTATAATACATGTATATATATAAATATATTTTAAATACAACTATCATATAATATAATACTATATTCCGCAGCAACGTGCGGATTTCAGGCTCGTTAACCTCTATTTTCAGTGCAGAGCAAGTTATAAGAAAAACAAAACATGTCGTATTTTCAAATTTGTTTGCATGTTTTGAAAACGACATGTCCTTTATCTTCATTAATCTTGGTTTTTAAACTAAGAGAAAAATTTTTCACCTTCAATATGGTCTATACCAAAAAGTACAGTGTGAATAGGAGGAAAACATGTCAATAAAGGCTGTTTCATCTTTCCCTCTTTATTGTCGATAAAGATTAATGAAAATGCGTACAAAATTGGGAAGGCACAATTGTTCCATTTATTTCCTCTAAACGCATAGACAATTGTTCACACATTATTGAACTTCAAATTAGTCAATCCTCAATAACTACATCTAGTTATTTTCTCCTTGGAAAGCCACAATTATCGTCTCTATTTTTGATCATTTTGCAAAATAGCCAACTATATATACACTATTAAATATTTATAATAAAAAAACAACCCAAGGTTTTTTTGTGTGGATAATATAACCCACGGTATTAGTATTGCTAATAAAATCCAAATGTTATTACAAATTGATTACAAGCGGAAATCCATCCACTTTAATGGACCTCCACCTAAACAAACGACACTAATCTCGACAAAAGAATCCAACCAATTTGGAAACACGAAACAAAGCACTACATTATACAATAAACAGAACAGAAGATCGTTGTTTTTTCACCAATCACTTTGAAGCAGTCCTCCTCCGAAGATCGGCGTTGAAATTAGGGTAAGAAGAAGAGTCCCTCCGATTCTCAGACGGCGACGGAAAGCCTCTGTTGACGCTCCGCGATCGCTGCTCGGCGAAGTCCAGCGGCGGCGGCGGCTGGAACTCCGATCGCGTTCGCCGGTGGGACGATCCTTCGGAAAATTTATGGCTGGATCCGCTCAAATTAATAATAATTATAAAAAAGCGTTTACATAAAAACAGAAAAAGATAAGATGATAAAGAGGTAAAGTACTCTCTATATACTTAATAATACGTACATAAGTGGATTTTACTTCCACCATAAAAGAATGAAAGCCCAAGAATAGATTCCCTAAAAAACCAGGCCAAGACTTTTAACAGAATATTAATGTGAGAAAATTAATAAACTCACTTTTAATGTTTGGATTATATGCATACTTGTCATATTACAGTACCCTGAATTTAAAAATACTATTCTATTTATCTACAAAATAGTCTGCTACCATACATAAAAAGACACTAGCAACCTTACATAATGAAAAAGGTCCCAAAATAATGAAATATCATTATAGGAAAGTTTGCAAAATAAAATCATGATATGAAATCAGAATAAGACATTTAATGAAACCTACCTTATTTAGTGAAGGGAAAGTATTTTTCGAAAAAAAAATTAAAACCATACAAAAAATACGATTCGTACAAACTAATACTCATTTTCACTAATGTTGATGTCTAAGCTGACTCAACACCCACGTGTTGGGAAGTACAATACTCGAACTCCTGTTTCGGTCGAGATCCCAATCGACAACTTCATCATTTTTTGGACCTGTTTGCTCTTCGGTCAAGATGGTCGAATACTGATGCTCGAGGTTGGGTCCGGGAGGACCTACTAGATGAGTGTCGGCCATTCATTCGCCGAGCAGTGCTAACATGCTTATATCTTGAATTGCGCCGACTAGTGGGCTGGCTCGCCGATGGCTCAGGTTCGGTTGAAGGTCGGTCCTCGTCCTCTTCCTCGATAGGTTGGATGTTGGGTGCGGGCTTAACAGGTGCGGCTGGAGCTTGACCTTGAAAGGCATGGACGAGCATTTGGACTGTCTTGGAAAGGTTCCAGACGTGGGCTATGAGCCGTTCAGTTTGGGTCTGAGCTCAATGTCGGGTTGCTCTGGCTCCTTGGCCTCGGCCCCTTCGGGGACCTTAGGGGTCGGGTACCGGTTCCTTTGAAATGTTGTTCTAATCATTAACAGACCCCTCCATGACGGGGTAGTATTGGAAAAGTTAGGATGCTGGAAACGCGTGCACGCCCTCCTTTAAGAGCCAAAATTTTGATGCGTAAGCTGACTCAACACCCATGTGTTGGGAAGCAAGGTGCTCGGACTCCTGTCTCGATCTTAGCTTGGTCAGTGCTCCGCCATGTGCTCGAGTTCAGGGACTAGTGTCCTATACTGGAGTAAGAGATAAAGCTTCGAAGTGAGTGGACACCAGTGTGGTACTTACCAAACACACTCCGACACTCAAGTCAGTTGAGCTAATTGGGAGCAATAAATGTTGTGACAGGAGTTGGGTAGTAGAATTATCCTTACCTCAATAAATGATCATGGGGTATTTATAGTTCCCTTGATGGACCCGGATTTTGTCCATGACCCACCGGGGGCCCACAAGTACATGTGTACGGCTCCGTCTGACGTCGTGACAGTGTCGCACATCAATGGGAGCGTACAGTATTCACTCAATGGTTGGGATCGATTTGTTGTACATATTGTTTATTGTGATGTGGAGTCGCCGAACAACCATGTTCAGCGACAGGCCTGTAGGAATTGTGCTCAGCCTATCGTCAGGGTAATAAATATAGCCGAACATCATATCATATCTGGTGTCGGAGAGAAGCTCAGCTATATCATAACGTCTGAAAACTTATCGATGACTTGTTCAGCCGTACCACCCGAATAGTGCTCGGCATGTGCTGCCGAGCTACCTGCCAACAACTAATTTATTAACAATATCATTATCAAAGAGAACAAAAATATTAAACAAATGTTAATGTATAAATAATACCCATTTTTATTATTTTACTGACAATAACATTATCAAACATATCTTACCCTACATAAGAAACACGAAAAATGTACTCAGTAAAAAATATTTCCATTATTGTAGCAATATGCTCTCTAAATCTTAAAATGTACCCGTTGTGCTTTTGAAATATGATATCTCCAACTTTACAGATTCTTTAATTATTTTTTTCTCTTTTTATTGCCTCTAATCAATTAATGTTTTGAGAATTATTGTCTAACTGATATTTTTGGAGCGAAAGACATTTAACAAACCCGAAATATCATAGCTAATTAGCAATTTAATGGTCTTATGAATATTTTCGTTTAAAAAATTAATAGAATCAAGATGAAAAGAAAAAAATTGAAGACATATCATATTTCAGAAGACACAATATATATATTTTAAAATTTAAAGGTATATTAACACAACTAATAAAATTTAAGAGACGTTTATAAATATTTTTGTTAAAAAACTTGACGGAATTAGATTTAAAGGTATATTCACACAAGTGATAAATTTCGGAGCACGACATTCACATTTTAAATTTTGTCTAACAAAGTTCAGAAATTCATAAAACGATGGACGCGGTTCGACCCAGTGATCAACCTTGCTGAGTCTGAGACACGCAAGCAAATGCATGCCTGCCGTCTAGTGTCGCTGGAGCGAGTCGCGGCTAGCGGCACCCAAACCACCACCGTCGTCTTCTGTCGTGGTTGTCTCTGCTGTTCAGTGCAAAAGTTCGTTTTCTTCTCCTAATTACTAAAACAGGGTCAGCTCCTCAGCTCTTCATTTCAATTTCTCTCTCAATTTAACATGTTCACTTTAGCCTGCAATGTTTAATTTACTTCTTTTTTTTTCCTCCTCTTTTTCCCTTTCCGATTTAGTTTTGGGTTTTCTCTGTCGTTGTGTGTTCTTTACTTGGGCCATCAAACCAAGTTAACTTGTGTGATGCCTTTACTTTAATTGTTGATTGGTATTGGGAAAGATTGAAAAGTTGTAATTACTAAAGAAATTAATTCGATTATGAGATATGAGATACAAAATGGAGGCTTTTAGATTCAACAAAATTTGCAGTGCCCATTTGAACATCTTTCAAGAAGAGGCATTAAATCCAGTAAATTTGTTGTAAAAAGTTAAAGTGCCCAAATTTGTGCATATTGTGAAAGGGTTAATTTTTAAACCAATTGGCTGACTATTTTTAATTGTTTTATTGTAGATAATTCCCTCTATCTTACACATGGTAGTAGGGTTTATACCTTCTTGCCTGAGTTTGTTACAACAACCTCGTCCTTCAATCTGTATTTCCAAGCACATATCATCAAGAAAATATAAGAGAGAGATAACGAGGACTGCAGGCATTAGAAGAACTCTAATATCACCACCTCCTCTTAAAGATACTTTTGGTATACGTGTTTTTGTGGTGTCAGATTTGCATACAGAATATGCTGAAAACATGAAATGGGTTGAGTGTTTATCGACCGTACGATACAAAAATGATGTTCTTCTTGTAGCTGGTGATGTGGCTGAAACGTACAGTAACTTTATCTTGACTATGTCTATGTTGAAGGATAGATTCGAACACGTTTTCTACGTGCCTGGGAACCATGATTTGTGGTGCCGTCGGGACGGGGAAAGTTATGTAAGGGCTTTGGTTATACTTTGTTATAGTTACTTTAATTCATTAGCAAATTATATTTGGCTTATTTTATGTGTTCGCTAACTAAAATAAAGAGTCTAAGAGGCCGAAGTTCTAAATTCTGTTATAACAAATGTGATATGAGGTCAGATCGAGGTTTCATCAAGCTGTTTAGTTTTCAAAAGTCTTGAATTGTTTTGTACTTCTTCCCTTGAATAATATTTTGACTATTACATGTCTTTCCTTTTGTTGTAGTCATATTGACTATCACATTTTCTTTGTAGCAATTTTTTTTATTTTTAAAAAGGACTTTACTTTTTCTGGAATTTACTTTGGTTTACAATCCTTGGTAATGATATGGCTGCGTGGTGTTTCAGAGACTATTTTATTTTAAACCGTTTCATTGTTTTCCTTTCCCTTTTTGTCATCTGTTGTCATTCCTTCTTGCACATATTAATCAATCTATGAACAATGAGTGCTTGTGGCTTTCAGCTTAATTCTCTTGAGAAGCTTAATAAATTGCTGGAAGCATGTAGAGCTCTTGGAGTTGAGATCAATCCTACAGTTATAGAGGACTTGGGTATCATCCCTTTATTTTCTTGGTATCATGAGGTGAATGTTTTATCACGTTGTTTTGACGTGTTTACACGATTCATCTCCTGGATCATGCATAGACTCATCAAACTGCTCCATGACGCTTCATCTTGTTTTCGCTTCTAGCCAAAGAATGTGACGCTTCATCTTCCATTATTCTGATTGACTGCTTATTTTGCAGAGTTTTGATAAGGAGGAGGATATTACTGGCATTCACATTCCTTCTTTGGAGATGGTGATTTACTTTCTTTTCTCCTAGTAAGGGTTTTATCGTCTATGACATCATAATTAAATGCGCCCGTGACACCTAGGTTTAATGATGATTCCCAACATCTAGTTTTTTTCTTGTAACTCTTTAAGTGTTGCGTATGTGATCAGTTATTCTAAATCAAATATTTTTTGAGGGTGAAGGTGTCAACATTGATCTTTTGAGTCAAAGTGTTTCACAAAAACCTGCTTTGTAACGACAATCCAGAAAGGTTTGTAAAAGTTTTATGACGCCTTACCATACGAGGGAATTAAATAGCTAGATTGTGTATTTGTTCTTTCAAGTGGTTCTTGCAAAATATTGCTCTGTAGCCAACTTTAAAGTTCCATAAAGTGTTTTCAACATAAGGTGAACCTCAGCATTGTGAATGGTCATAACTATAATTTTTCCTCTGCAACTTACTTCCTCTCTAGTCTTTTGTTTTTTTTTTTTCCCCTTGAGGTCTCCTCATGTCAATCCCACGAGCCTCTTATCCACTCCATTCTCATTCCCTACTCGGGATGGAGGAGGCCGCGGAGAAGTTGCGTGATTGTGGAGATAGTGCTATTGGTTTTCGTTCTTATTTCTCTCTCACGTGTGCTCTTTTTATATATCATGTTCATGCCAGTTTTCTGTTACTTTAGGGTTTCTATCGTGCGGAAAGAAAGATCTCTGGATATATTTAAGATCATAACAAATGGTTCTACTAAGTTGTATGTAGGCATGTAAAGACTTTCATGCATGCAAATGGCCTGGGGAGCTGTCGAGTGGAGATGCCTCCCTTGCCCTGTACTTTGATGCAATGAATGAAAGAAATCAAAATGTTGTCGACAAGATTCAGAGGATCTGTAGCCAAATAGTTACATTTTCTCACTTTGTTCCCAGGTCTGTTACTGTCTGGATTTAATCTTGTGTTCAGCCAATTCTATTGTATCTTCTTAAGTAGAACCAGTGATTGTAAATTTCTTTATTTTACTCACTAATTATAATGGTAGAGGAGCACAGATTTGTATATCAAGTCATTTAAAAGGGAAAAAAAAGGAAAGAAAAATCAACGAGTTGATATGGTCTAGCCTTTAGGGGAAGGAAGAAATTAAGCTCCCTCTTCCACGTTGCTCTTACAGGATTATCATATCCATTTATCTTCTGGATTATTTTTCCTTTAAACCATGTGATTGCTCAATAGTGAAATATTTGGAGTGTATGGGGTGACATGATTGTTTTTTGGAGGAAACATGTTTACGGACTCAATTGAAGAATGCCTGACTTTCTTATGTTGCACCTTTAGTGATTTTTAGTGGTATTCTGATATTGGTCATTCATCAGTGTGATATTCAAATGGAGTAGTGGAAAGAAATTTTGAGGCGCTCTGCGCTCATTTATACTTTGAACCAGTTGCAGTTGTAGCCAAGTTGTTTACTGTCATGTGGTGTTTAGTGGATGTTCCGACTTCTGTTATACAGTTCTTGGTTGTCGTTGCTGCGTTGACATGTATAGGTGGTTGTGCAATGATTAGGTGGTTTTAATGATTCTGACGCTAGCATTTTAACTTTTCTTGTGTACCACGAACTATTTTTGTTTTCTGTTCTTTCTTTTTAAGAGATTCTAGTGTGCTCCTTCTTTAACACCTTGACATCAAGACATGGGCAGAAACTAGATACCGTTTAAACTTGTGTTGTTTCTTAATTAGATTCTATTCTTTATATTTTATGGCAGTACTAAGTTAACAATATCTGGCATATTATGTCTTTAGGCAAGAGTTGTGCCCGGAGAAAAGGATGCTTTTTTATCCAAAGCTCCCAAAAATTATTGGATCTGATTGTCTTGAGCATCGCATAAGGTCTATCCATGGGACTGAAGGTGATGAATCTGCATGTCATGTGTTTGGTCATACACATTTCTGCTGGGATGCGGTGATCGATGGTATCAGGTAGATTGCGCTGCATTTACTGATGTAGCATTAGCTTCCACGGAAATTTGGCCAAACTTTTATTTTTTCTTTTTAGAGAAAAAAAACTTTATATTTTTAGTGAAAAGAAGCATTACGTTGAACAATAATTTGAAATTACTTGAATCAGTACAACGTCTTTGTTTCACCTGGAAAATGAATATATCAAATGTTCAGCTTTAGGAATCTGGCGAACTATATTGGTTTTTCAGTTTTCTACCATATTCAACAATTCTTTTTGCCCTTTGTCCATATTCAACTCTCTAACATGCATATGCAAGTCATACACAAACATGGATAACAATATTTGAAGAAATGATAAGGTCCTCTCCATTTTGTTTTTCTGAATGTTCATGCACAATGAGGAAACTTTAGAAATTTGCATCATAGATTTGCTTCTAGAAACTTCTTTCGTAGCATATACCCTGAGTTAGAAGAGAAATCAGACTCATTCTTGAGACCAGGTCAACTATTCGTTAAGAGCTTCATTTCACTGGCATCTTTGACAACTATCTTTTTTAAGCTCTTAGAAACCGCCAAGAAACGAAAGCAAGGAGGAGGCCGCACCTTAGAGTTGGAGTTAAAGCTAGGTGAATAAAGAAATCAATGTAGTAACGGCAGATTTAAGGCGGTGTATTGCATTTTATTCTCTAGTAGCTTTTGCTAGAAGGTATTCTGTAGTATTTACTTATATGAGCAATTTGTCCCATACAATGCAACACGTTTTATCACTACATAATCCTAGTAGTTAACATTTTTGGCATGACTATAGGGTGACAAAAGAAACGTCCTTTCTCAAAATGAATTCTCTTATTTGATTTAACTATAAGTTACAAACTATTGGTTTCTCAAATTACTTACCGCAGTAATTTATATGCATAAATGCAGGTATGTACAGGCACCATTGGCATACCCAAGAGAAAGGAAGAGGAGAATGAATGGGGGTGAAAACTGGCTGCCATTTTGTATCTATTCTGAGGGCAAGTTTTCTGAAAGAATTTCACCATGTTTTTGGTCCGATTATTACTCTGTGAATCCTAGAACACCTCATAATACTGAATTGGCTCCTTGGGTTGCCAGATTCTACCACAGAACATGACTTTTTGTTTATGTTTTGTTTTGTTTTGTTTTTGTTTTTGTTTTTTTTTTGTTGTTGTTCCAATTTAATGACCTAGACATATAATATGGATTCTGTTTGTGAAATTATCACATTCATAATAACCATGCACTTTTGGCAACTTTAGAACTCTTTGCTGCTGCTTGTATTTATTTTCATAGCCGTGTCAACATATATTGCCTCTATTTTGAGCGTCTTCATTCATTTATTCAAAGAAGAAAGGGAAAAAAAGAAAATTCTTTCGGCAACTATATAACATTTTTGGTTGGACAGTTCTAATTGGTATAGTTTGAATAATAACCCTAACAGAATAGTGGGAAAACCCTAAAAAAAAAAAAAAAAAAAAGGAAAAAATAACAATGATGTTCCAATTTTGACCGGTCAGTATAAAATAAACTTGTATTATTTATTTATTAAAAGGATCTACTAAATTACTTTAATACTCCTGCAACCTAAATATAAATTTGCCTCTTTGCCCATCTTCACTTCTCAATTAAGTCTCCTAGCCGCCGCACTTTCTTCCTTTTTCTCATTTGTTCTCTCTTTCTCACTCCACATCTTTCTTTGTATTTGAATTTGAAGACATCATAAGATTAAACCTATCAAATGATAGGTCAAAGTCATCCTTTGTCTTCAATTCAATGAAAATTTTTAAGGGGAAAAGATTGTAAAATTCCTATGGTAGGAAATGTAAAAAGGAAAACGTAAAGAAGAAAAAGAGAATTGAAGAAGAATTGTGTATATTTCTGTATCTTGGAAATGATGTACAATGAGTATTTTATACAAGCAGGAGAGAATAATTCTATGCCTAAATAATAGCAACTTTCCTAACAAATACCCTGATTTAGGGAAATTGATCTAGACAATAAATTAAATAAATACAGGAAATCAAATACATAAAATCAAGAGGAAATTAAGGAATAATTAGCTAGGATCTTGATTTTTAACACTCCCCCTCAAGTTGGAATAGATGTTGATCATTCCTAACTTGTTGACGAGATTAGAAAACTGTGGCACACCCAAGGATTTAGTGAAGATATCTGCGGGTTGTTTTGATGTCGATATATGGTAAGTCTTGACTACCCCAGCTTAAACCTTTTCTTGAACAAGGTGACAATCAATCTCTATGTGTTTTGTCCGTTCATGAAAAACCGGATTGGAAGCAATGTGTAGAGTAGCTTGATTATCACAAAATAACTTTACTGGTTGTTAATGCTTTGTTCCAAGATCAAGTAAAATGTTTTGGAGCCAAGTGATCTCACAACAAGCAGCTGCCATGGAACGATATTCTGCCTCTGCACTTGAACGAGAGACAGTTGCTTGCTTCTTGGTTTTCCAAGAAATGAGAGAACGCCCAATAAAAATGCAATAGCCTGCGGATGACTTTCGTGTGTCTCGACAACGAGCCTAATCAGCATCACAAAAAGCATTCAGCTACAATGAACTTGTGGATGGGAAAAAGATACCTTGTCCAGGTGTGTTCTTGATGTAGCGTAGGACTCATTGTGCCGCTTCTAGGTGTGGAACTCGAGGCTTATCCATAAATTGACTGAGAATATGTACGACATAGACCAAGTCTGGCCTCGTGATGGTCAAATAAATCAGTTGCCCAACAAGTCTTCGATAAGAAGAGGGATTTTCAATGCAATCGCCCTCTTCCTTACTAAGAGATAAATTCTGCTCCATTGGAGAATTGGTGGGCTTCACTCCCAAGTACTCCATGTCTTCTAATATTTCCAGTGCATATTTCCTTTGTGAAATAGCAATTCCTCTTTTGGATCGAGATATTTCAATGCCCAAAAAATATTTCAAGTTGCCAAGATCCTTGAGCTTAAATTGCTACATGAGATGAGCTTTAATTCCTTCAATTTCTTGGAGATTATTGCCCACTAGAATGATGTCATCTACATAGACAAGGAGAGCAGTAAAGGAAGTACCATGGTGTCGGACGAATAAGGAGTGATCTGATTTGGATTGTATGAAGTGTGCAAGAGCGAGGACTTTGGATAGCTTGATGAACCATTGATGGGAAGCTTGCTTGAGCCCGCACAAAGATTTGTGAAGTTTGCATACACGTGTCTCCCCCTTTCGTCCGAAACCAGGAGGCAATGACATGTAGACGTCTTCCTCCAGATCGCCATGTAGGAAAGCATTGTTAACATCTAGTTGGCGAAGGTGCCAATTCATGGAAGATGCGACAGCAAGGAGTAAGCGAACAGTAATAAGCTTGGCAACGGGGGCAAATGTCTCATGATAATCAAAACCTTCCATCTGATGTAACCTTTTGCAACTAAGCGTGCTTTGTATCACTCGACAGTGCCATCAGAGTTGAATTTGATCTTGTATACCCATTTGCAACCTACGGGTTTCTTGTTTGAAGGCAAAGATTGGAGAGACCAAGTGCCATTATCTTGGAGAGCAAGAAGTTCTTCGTTCATGGCAAGATGCCATTTTGGATCTTTGATGGCCTGGGCAAAGGATGTAGGTTCTTTGACAGTGGAAATGGAAGTAGTGAAAGCACGACGGAGAGGAGAAAGTCTATCATAGGTAAGTACATGAGACAAGGAGTGAGAAATACCTTTGGAAGCTGCCAACACCAAGTGAGACGACGGTAAGGAGCGAGAAGGCAAAGAAGTTTCTACATGATACTGTTGAAGGTAGCTGGGTGTCCATGTGGGTCGCCGGACTCGGGTGCTGGGTGTAGGAGAATTAGGTGAGGAATCAAGTGGAGCCGCAATAGTAGTGTCTAAGGCCGCGGCGTTGGGAAGAGAAGAAGGTTGGTCACCACGGCACATGGGAATGGTCGTTGCGACGGGGGGAATCGAGTCTGAAGGCGCCACGGCGGGCAAAGGTGGATCCGCAAGGGGGGGGTTTGAAAAGTCTGGCGCTGCGGTGGGTGTCTAAAGATGCCACGACAGGCAAAACTGTTGCCACAGCGGGTAGATTTGGATTGGTTGGTGCTACGGTGGGAAAGGTGGGAGCCATGGCGGAAAGAATCGGATTGGATGTTCCAGATGAAATGGATATGGGTGCAGCTGAAGCATAACGAAAAATATGTTCATGAAAAATGACATCTCGGGAAATGTAAATTTTTCTAGTGGCTAAATCATATTGTAACACCCATTTTTCTAAACCAATAAAATTCTTAGAAGTAGATGTTAGGAGTTAATTTGAATAATGTTATGGTGTTATATATAATTAATTGTAACATTATGTTGAGTATATTTTACAGGTGAACGCGACGAGGACTCGTGGTGTAAGAACAAGTTCATGCCAAATTGTTAAATTTTATATGATGATTTGATGGATATGCGTGTTTATTTAATACCATTAATAAATTATATTGATATATGGTATTACAAAATACATATACGTTCAATTTTATGTTATACTATATAGTTATGTATATATATTATATATTTAAAATATCAATGGCCAACCACCATTTGTTATTGCACTTTGTTGGTAATGATTGGTTCTATGCTGAATTGTTAAGGGTGGGGATTGATTTAATGTCTTTGGAGTCAACAACCGTATAAAGAAACTTTCACCATGGTTTGCAAAATGATATCTACCTCTTTGACAGCCACTATATCACCCAACCCAAGACAATTAATATTCTTTATTGAGTTATATATTTCACGCTTTCATTCCATTTCTTTTCTTTTGCGCCTATTTATGAAAAGAAGTCAACTTCATATACGTACAATGTGAGAAAAATAGGCAGATTCATTGCTTAACCAGCCTTGCCATATATATGTGCATTAACTATATGTATGGTCAAAAGAGAATAAGAGGAATCAGCGTACTTGAAGCAAGGAAAAAAAAATCTCTCTCTCTCTATCACGCTTGTGCCCTCTTCTTCATATCTCTCCATTTTCTCTCTAGAGCCTCAATTCCCAAAGAGATTTTTCATCTTCTTCTCCTTATTTCCTCTTTTCTCACGTTCTTGAACACCACAAGAGAACTTTCATTTTATCAGCCACCAAACTCATTTCCTCTTAATCATTTTTGAATTCATCAATCACACAAGATAAAATTTAGAGATTGTTAAGGTATGATCCTAAATTTTTGATTCTATGATTTTGAGTGTAGATTTCTATTAGACTATATGTTAGTCATAATTATTATTTGATTGTTTTGTTGTCTATCTCCATAAAAGCATGCTATAGAGGTTGGAAATTTTGATAATTGAATTAATAATGGAACTATTGGTTCTTGTACAACCTAGAAACATGCAAAGGATTATTTATTTATGATCATTTATATGATTGACTCATGTGATTCTTTTTATCATCATTTTATAGGTATAAGATGTACATATATGCACGTATTTATATTTCTTTAAGTATTAGAAACATGTTATAGGGCTGAAGAATAGATGGAGTGCTGTTTATACATGTTGAGGATGATGGTTTTGTATTTTTATATAATTTGGTGAATTTTCGTCCTAGTTTGAGTGCTGAAATTTCTTCAGGTTTCATGTCTGATTTTGAAACAGGGTTTCAGAAAGTAAACGAACTCCGTTTTTAAGAAATTATATACCGTTGGAAAGGTCTAGATGTCTACTTTAATTTAAAATTAGTTTCAGGTCATTTGGAGTTCTATATGAATGGTTATGAGTTTTTAAATGAGTAAAGGTCAGGCTGTCAGTTTTATTAAGTTTTGTGGTTTTGTGTAATCAGTGGGCTTTTATGTCTTGATGTTAATGAATGGTGAGAATGGTATATTAAATGTTGTTTTTAACATGATTAATGTATTTGATGAGATGTTAAGGTTTTTTTTTTTAGTAATCTTATTTATGATCTATGGCATGAACGGTTCTAGAGGCAAGCACCCGAGGACCTCATTCGTCGCGTCACCGTTGTGAAATTTTAAAAGGCTAAGTAAGGCGCTCAAGTAAGTACACTCTCACCTGCAACATGAATTGAAGAATTGAAAAGTGTATGATTTTGATGTTTATGATGATGTTATGACACCTTTAATATTTCATATGATGACGTTTTGAAGAAAAATGTATATTTGTCTTTTTATGTTTTTAAATGGTATTGTACACCCTTGATGGTGACCGGTGAGCGATCTTATTGCCACGGTTAGTATGGGATTTACTATCCCATGCTTTTCGTGGCTAGCGCGCTATGATGGTACAACGTCGGGCCCAATATATGATGGATTTTAAAGTTTAAACATGTTCAAAAATAATTATTCTCGTGATGAAGTTTATTGTTGATGAAAAAAAATGTTCATTTAAATTTTTGAGAATTAAGTGTCTTACTAAGCCCTTGCTTATATAAGTTATTTCATCTTGCAGACAATCTAAAGGGTAAGATGTATCCATGGAGAATATTGGAGCAGATGCGAGCTATACGTGATAGGAAAACGGAAAAAACGATCATGGGATGAAAGTGTTTAAGGTTAAACAAAGTTTTTGATTTTTACTTTTATTGTTTTGAAACTTCAGTTTATGGTGGTTTTGATTTGAAGAATATTTTAGACTTTATAGATTTTAATAACTAAGTTGAACCGAAGGTTGTTTTATTTTTCTTTGAGGAAGTTTAAAAATTTAAAGATAGTATGTTTAAAAAAATCTAGGCTTTTCTTTAAGTCGTTCAAAGTAAAGTATTTCAAGTTTAATGATTTTCCGCATTCTTTAAGAGGTAAATGTTTGAAAGTTAAGATAATTGTGACGGTCCGTGAGGGGTCATGACACATATACCCAATAACCTTTTGTATCATAAGGATAACCAAGGAAGATGCAACGTAGAGAGCGAGCATCGAATTTGCTTGGTTTATGGTGATGTGTAGAGGCAAAACATAGGCAACCAAAAACACGTAAATGATCATAAGTGGGTGTTTTGTTAAAGATTACCTCAAATGGTGTTTTGCCATGAAGAATAGGGGTTGAGGTACGATTTACTAGGTAAGTGGCAGTAAGGATGGCATCACCCCAAAAAAATTTGGGAAGGTTGGCTTGGAAAAGTAAGGCACGGGCTACATTGAGTAGATGTCGATATTTGCGTTCAACAACTCCATTTTGTTGTGAGGTTGAGACACAACTGGTTTGATGAATAATCCTTTTAGCATGATATGTGTTTGGAATGTCAAATTCGTTGCCATTATCACTATGAATAATTTTGATGCGAGAAGTAAATTGGGTTTCAACAAGGTTTATAAAAGTAAGTAGACAATCTCTAGCTTCAGATTTTGTAAGCAAGAGATAAACCCATGTACATTGAGAAAAATCATCTACGATAGTGAGAAAATATTTTGCCCCTTGTAAAGTTGGGAACATGATAACCACCCCAAATATCAACATGAATGTGCTCAAAACAAGATTTTGTCTTAATAGAACTGGAAGGAAAAGGTAGTCTTGTTTGTTTAGCAAGTGGACAAATAGAACAATCATTAATAAAATGAGCTTTAACAGAATCTAAACACAAAGAAATGCCTTGCAGGGTTTTATTGGAAGGGTGACCAAGGCGTTGGTGCCAAAGATGAGGAGTGGTGGAAGTGGCAGTGGCAGCGAAGACACGACACCCAACATACTTCGAAGTATCCAAGTAGTAGAGTCCAGCTTGCTCAATTCCCATCCCAATCGTCTTCCCCGAATGTTGGTCCTGCACAAAACAAAGGTTATTGGTAAAGGTTGCATAACATGAAGAGGTTTGAGTCAATTTGGCTACAGATATCAAATTGAGTTTAAAGGAAGGAACACAAAGTACATTATAAAGAACCAGTTTACTAGAGAAATGGACGGTCCCTATATGTGTTACTTGAGCAAGATCATGGTTTGGTAAATGGACATAACGATTGGTGATAGGTATGTGAGTGGTGAAAAATTGAGGTGAGCAAACCATGTGATCAGTGGCTCCTGTGTCAAAGATCCATCGAATACCTTTACCATATATGGAAGAGCTAGGAGGAATACCTGAAAGATTGTTCACTGTTGACACTTGATTGGCAACACTAACCGATTTTGTTCGATCAATGAGTTCAAGGAGATCACGATATTGATCAGCAGTGAGACTATATGAGAATGAGTTGTTTCAGCTTTGTTGGATGTAGAATCCGCGTGATGTGCTCTGACGTAAGACTTTGAGGGACCTCTCTTATCCCCTTGAGCATTTGCCCGCTTGAGTTTGTGACAGATGTCGATGGTATAGCCCCTGTAGCCACAAGGATCACATTGAAGATGTTGGCGGCAGTTTTCAGTGGTATGTCCAACAAGGTTGCAATGATCACATTTGAGATGTGGGTTTCTTGGTGAGTAATTCATGTTCAAATTTGGTGGTCCATCTTTGACAGCAAAGGCAGCCGCATCCGGTGTCTTCCCAGTCACCTGTGAAGAGATGTTTTGTTGTTTTTCATCTTGAATAATGAGAGAAAATACCTTGTTCACAGGCGGCAAGGGATCCATGAGTAAGATCTGCCCTCGAGCGCCGGCATAAACGGGGTTGAGTCTCATGAGGAATTGATTAGTACGTTGTGTTTGTTGGTATTCCTGCAATTTCTTTGCTATGTCGCCATCACAAGGTGGAAGAGGACTTAGAGCATCACGTGCATCCCACAAGCCTTTTAATTTGGTGTAGTAGTCACCAATGCTCATGTCTCCTTGAATGCACTCATAAATCTCTTGTTCAACATGAAAAAGATGCACACTATTTGTATGAGAGAATGTTCTTTCAATTCCCGCCAGATCTTGAAGGCACTATCATTGTACATCACACTTTGAGCAATGTTTGGTGACATAGTGTTGAGGATCCAACCCTTGACAAGGAGATTGCAGCGAGTCCATTGCTTGTGTTCCTTGGTGGATGTTTCTGGTGGTTTCGTGATGGATCCGTCCACAAAGCCATCCTTGTTCTTGGTGAAGAGAGCCATGAGCATGGCATGGCTCCAAAGAGGATAATTGTCCTGTGTCAATTGTTGAGTCACAAGAACCAAACCTGGTTGATCAGAATAGTGGAGATAGAAGGGATTACTTGGATCATCATACATGTTGGTAGATGGCTTAGTTGCCTCTGTAGTTTTATCAATATTTGCCATGGAAGCTGAAAATAATGGAGGCGTAGAGTTGGGTGGGCTGTGGAGATTTTTAAGTCTCTGATACCATGTAAATTTCCTCAAATGTAAAAAGGAAAATGTAAAGAAGAAAAAGAGAATTGAAGAAGAATTGTGTATATTTCTTTATCTTGGAAATGATGTACAATGAGTATTTTATACAAGCAGGAGAGAATAATTATATGCCTAAATAATAGCAACTTTCCTAACATATACCCTGATTTAGGGAAATTGATCTAGACAATAAATTAAATAAATACAGGAAATCAAATATAGAAAATCAAGAGGAAATTAAGGAATAATTAGCTAGGATCTTGATTCTTAACAAATTTCATTAATATAAATCTCGATAATTGACAGGATTGAGATAATGAATTTTCTCGTTAAATTCGTACATTTCAGTAATGTGAAATTTTAATGCTAAGACAATTTTAATTCGTGACAATTGATTCAAAACTTCAAGTGTCGCATTTATTTCCTAAAATGTAAATTCAAGTGACGGAAATTGATAGCTTGATTTATTTATATTCCATACATAGTTCTTTGGTTGGTTTTTAGCGTTTTTATTCATTTTTATTGTGTTTTGTTTTGTAGATTTTAAGTTTATGCGAATAAAAGGGTCAAAAGAGAGCTTAATTAGAGTCATTTCTGCATAATCCAAGGGCTGCAGCGGATGCACTTTCGCTGCAGTGGAAATACTTCTTGAGAAGATCAAGAAGAAGTTGCGATCTACAGCAGATAAACATCCGTTGCAGTGGATGCTGGACCCGAGAAGACCATGCATCACTCGTCCACTGCAGCGAACGAGTGGTGTGCTGCAGCAGCTTGCACAGCGAAACAACGTGTCCGTTGGAGCGTGTGGCCTGCATCTGCTAGGGTTCTGAGCAGATTCTATTGCGGCACTACAGCGGATCCAAAGTGCGCTGCAGCGCCCCAGTCACATGCTGTCTACAATTTAGGCCAAAATTACACACATTTCGAGGAGGCATAAATAGAAACGAGCTAAGAGTCAAAGGGAGGGACTTAAAGACAGAAAATCCAGACCTAGAAAAGGAAAATATGAGGATTCAAGAGCTAGATTGAAGATTCTGAGGAGGGATTGAAGATTCTAAGGAGGGATTGAAGATTGTGGAGCTCGATTGGCCTCTAATTCTTCATTCTTTCTCTCTCTCATTTAGCTTTTGAGTTTGTGTTATTCTTGGATTTGAGATTGTATGATGGTTTGGATTCTTGGTTTATCTATAGTTTTTGTTATGGAACTCTTGATGATTACTTCTAGTTAAACTCTTAAAGTTAGGGGTTTTGATGTAGTTTTATAATTGGCTATGTTTTGAAGATGCTTGGTGTTTGTTAATGAAATTCTATTTCAAATCATTTATGTTTTCTTTGCTTATTGTTCTAATTTGTGACTCAATGAACTAGAGGTATAAATGTGTAATATTAGTCTTGGAAAAGTCAATTTCACATGTTGAGATTTGGGAAACACAACATAGAGTTAGTTGAGTTCGTGAGGCTAATTGATTTAGGTAATTAAAATTAGGTTTGCTTAATAGGTGCTTAATTAGTTAAGTGAATAGGGATATTGCTTGATTGATTTTGCACACTATTTTGTTCAGCACTAGGGAGAGGGAGTGAAATTACTTTTGAAAACCTCGATAATGAATTGAGTGGAACTAGTTACCAAAACCCAAGTACCAGAATTACATAGCTCGATAGAACGAAACCAAAACCCCTACTTACCGTATCATTGTCAAAGTTTCATTTGATCCTTTTTGTCTCCAAATTGCTCTTCTTATTGTGTTATTACTTTGCATTCCTTATTTTATTCAGTCTATTTCCTTAAATTTGATTGTCTAGATAAAATTGGGTTAGTATAGTTGCGGTAATTAGTTTAATTTGTGAAAACTCAACTCTTGTGGAACGATATTCGACAATTCTGTCACTTTACTACTTGTTACGATTCATTCACTTGTAAGCACACACTTCACATGAACTAAAAGAATTTTGCAACAAGGTTTTGGAGCCGTTACCGGAGCTGAATGTTTTTGGAAATTAACTTAATATTGTGACCAAGTAACTTGATTTTAATTTAGGCTTTTATTCTACTTCAATTTACTTAATTTTGTCTAAATTGTTGCTTGATAGTGTATGCGACGAGCTCAAAGTTTGAAATTATTGTCATTTAATTTAGAAATCGAGCGAACTTGTCGTACAATCCTTAAGGAAAGAAGGGCCCGAATTTGAACAATGACGGAAGAGGAAGGCAACAACAACAACAATGTTGTTAGTAACAATCAACAATGGGCTCTTTGGGATTACTTTCGGCCCTTTATTAATGACGACTATTTGGGGATCCGGCGACAAGCGATCAATGCTAATAATTTTGAGTTGAAACCGACACTCATCAGTATGGTGTAACAAAACCAATACAGGGGATTGCCTCAAGAAGACCCCAATGTGCATCTGGCAGTATTCCTAGAGATTTGTTACACCAACAAAATGAACGGGGTGGGAGATGATGTGATTCGTCTACACTTGTTCCCATTCTCTCTCAGGGACAACGTGTGAGGGTGGCTTCAATCTTTGCCACCTTGAAGTGTTAATACTTAGGAGGATTTGGCTCAGAAGTTCCTCACAAGGTTTTTCCATCCCTCGGAGACCACTCAATTGAAAAGTGACATTGCTCGGTTCCGGCAACTTGATTTTGAGCTGTTGGAATGGTTCAAGGAACTCATTCAGAAGTGCCCACAACACGATTATCAAGACTGGTTCTAGATTACTTGTTTTATAAAGGACTGAATGACCAAACTCGGACTATAGTAGATGTTGTTGGGAATGATGTCCTACAAACATGAGATGTAATATGATATTTATTATTTATTTAATAAAAGAGTTTATTCATTATTTTTTGTGCATATATTAATAAATATTTTATGAATATCAGTAAAAATTCCATGATTATTTATGTGACCTTAAATATTGTATATAAGTGTTATACAATATTTAAAATTGTAGCAGAAAGAGCTAGTGGGATCCATGTGGCAGAAGCAGAGAGGATGAGAGCGAGGGTGCACACAGAATAGGTGGAGCGCAAAGCAGAGAATTGCACTCGCTAGGCTGATGAGTGCTAACGCGTGGGCAGGAGCTGGTTTGAATTTTCTCTATAATTTTGACCCCATTCAAGCTTTATATTTTCAATTTGGCTCCTTTTTCTTTGTACTCTTGACCTCATTTCATTTCAAACTTTTCACTTAAGCCTCACTATTACACAAATGAGAACATTAATTATTTTGGATGGAAAACTAAAATATAAATTACTAAAACTAAACTAAAATTAATTAAAATAAATCTAAAATAGAAAGTAAATTCATTAAAATTCAAAATAAAGTAAAATAAAATAAAATAAGCTAAAAATCTCAAAAACTAGACACTTTAAATGCTCAAAAATAGTGAAATAACTCTATTTTTAATGGAGTTATCAATGCCCCTGAACTTTAAAATGTACATATTGTGGCCCCTGCATGATAATACTTCTCTAGATTTGCAATCCCCCTCCCCCAAACTTTGAAATGTTTCATTTTTTTAACATACTATCTCATGTGACACACATGAGATTGTTAAATTTTTCAATGTCTTTAAACCATGAACTAACCTAATTGAATTCAAGTCCGTTCTCTACTTTTTTCCCTCTTGTTTTCTAGCTTTTGAGCAACTACTCGAAGGAAAAAATATATCTAAAATTTAGCCCCTAACTAATTTAATTGGAGTGAAAACCTTTAATTTACCCTTAAATATTGTGCCTAAACTTAAACCATTATGCAATTCCATTAAAAAAAATTCACATTTCAAAGTTGAATGGGAAAATTTAGATAAGTATTATAAGGGCACAACATATACATTTTAAAGTTCGGGAGCATGTTGACACAAGTGACCTTGTTTAGAGAGACTTCATAAAATTTATTGAAAAAGATTAACAGTTTTATTTGGTGTGTCTTTCTCCAAAAAAAAAAAAAAAGAAAAAGCATACAAAAGCATATAAAAAAAAGTGTAAACAACAAGATACGCGATTACCATTGCTTTGTTTTCTATCTAAATTTTGACGAAAATTTTAGTCAACGTTTGAGACATTTAGTGAGTTCAGGGTTTAAGTTAGAATATTTTTTGATACAAGGATTAATTCTAAAGAGGGAAGAAATTCAGGGACTTCTCATAGATTTAACTCTATTTTTTTTAAGATTTAAAATTGTCAAGAATAATATTTCATACAGACTGTAATTGTTATGTAGGTTTGATGCTCTCATAACGTCCTTTGGAAGTACCAAGATAGATGATCTATGGTTTAGGAAATATTAGTGGTTCAAAAGACTTTTTTTTTTTTTTTTTTTTTTTTTGTGAATTTGGGATTCAAGGATTAGAGTATTTGATCTCATCATTAAAAGTAGGGTTAATTCATCGCTAGACTAAACCTGAAATCACCAAAAAAAACAAAAAAAGGAAAGAAAGAAAAAAAACATAAATTTTAGAATAAAGTTCGTAGGTTTTAGAAGTCAAGTACATAACCGAATATGTAGAATCGGTGCCAATAGCCCTTATGTTTTATGTCATCAAAGTTGGATCATTTAGCAGCAATAGCTGAAATAGAAGAGATGTGGGCCTACTTACCGCCATTATTCATTTATTAGTGAGCTGTATTAATCCAGTTTTGACCAATAAAACAGTTGGGTGCAGCTACCATGCATCTTCTTCTCAAAGGCTAGCCATTGACATTCCATTTGCTCCCCACGAAGTTTGAATATAAAATGGTCAATATAATTTTATACTCTTTTTAATAAACGGAATTTGTGTACACAAGACACGCTGATGCATAGAAGATCTCAATAAGAGGCCAAATCTCAAAAAAAAAAATAATAAAAAAGGAAAAACAAAAAAGGGAATTTTTATAGACAACAGTAGTACTAAGACACGCTGATGCATAGAAGATCTCAATAAGAGGCCAAATCTCCAAAAAAAAAAAATAAAAAAGGAAAAACAAAAAAGGGAATTTTTATAGACAACAGTAGTACTCCTGAATTCAACGCTCTCATATTGTAAACACATCAAATCTTCTCAACAACAAAACTCTTTGTTGTACTCTCCGCTTATTGGTGTCTAATTCTGTCGGAATCTCTTTCATGTATCAAGCTTTGCCTTGCGGACTTCGTCAAACTGTCACAAAAACAATACAAAAAAAAGCCTGGAAATATTGTATGACTTCTAGAAAATGAAACTCCAATAACTCATGACCAAACGCCATGTTTGATATACCACTAATTCTCCTTCTCCAATCCCATCCACCACCATGAAATTCGTCAATCACAAACTTGCATTTCTCATAAGCTTGTTCCTTTTGATCCAAACACCTAGCATTTTTTCTGTTGTGGCAATCATTAAGGAGGAGTTCTATCCAGATGAAAGAGACGCTTTAATCCAGCTGAGAGATTCTGTCACGTCAAATTTAGATTTGCACTCCAAATGGACAGGTCCTCCGTGTCACGAAAACGACACCAATTGGGTCGGAATTTCTTGCTCAAATGGACATGTCGTTCACATTGTCTTGGAAGGAATTGAGCTCAAAGGTTCTCTCCCTTCTACATTCCCGCAAAACATAACTTACTTAACCAAACTAAGCTTCACAAACAACTCACTCTCTGGACATCTTCCAAACCTCTCAAATCTTTTTGACTTGGAATATGTTTCTCTCTCACACAACACCATTTGGGGTCCAATCCCTTTGGAGTTCATCCAATTGCCAAAGCTGAACACTCTTCAACTCCAACAGAACTACTTGTATGGGGAAATTCCACCTTTTGATCAGCCAACTCTAACCGTTTTCAATGTATCATACAATCATCTCGGAGGCCAAATTCCGAATACTTCTGTTCTTCAGAAATTTCCGAATACGAGTTACGGCAACAACCCAGGTCTCTGTGGGACGCCTTTGGAAAATCCGTGTAGTTTTCCGCCTCCGCCACCAAGTCCTCCATCTCCAATCCCGCCGGTGTCTCCCCCTGCGAGTCCACCACCAGCAGACAACAAGAAGAAGAATAATAAGAGAAGCCTGGGATCGCGGGATGTGATTCTGATTGCGGTTGCAGCGGGTTTCATACCGATTCTGGTTGTTCTTGGTTTTTTGTTTTACTACAAGGTTGTGCATAGGAGGGAAAAGAAAAAAGAGATTCGTTCAGGTATGCTATTATTTGCAGGATATAATTCTAACTATACGATATTAGTACGTGTAATTTCCTATGTTTTTTCCTTTTTATTTTCTTAAATGCTCTGGAATATCTGTAACCGGAGTAGAATTCAGGACAAGATCGTGTCAGAATAACGAATTTTACCGTTGACTTGATGATGTGATTTTATCTTTTTATGCAATTTAGTTAGAGACCTACTCCGGTACGCCAACATATCGGTATATCAGGTTTTTTATCTGTTAGATCTGTATAAAATTATGTAAAAATTAAAAAGTACGCAGATTTAACAGTTAAAAAAATTTAACTTATCAGTACGTCAGGCGTACAAAAAAATCACCCATTTAGTTAAAAGAGGATACATATTTTTTTGAAAGTAGTTTAGTTGAGAAAGTCCACTTCGAACTAGAATCAATATATGATTATGTACAAAAAAAAAAAGGACTTAATTGTTGAGTGATTTCATTGCAATGGGTAATTTGGTTGAATGGAGATTTGCTTTTTTTTTTTTCTTTTTTTTGGAAGACTAGGATTTAGGAGAAGTGGTTATGTTGTCACATATTGTCATCATACATTAGGATATTTCTGCTATATATCAATAAATTCTGTACAAAACTTAATGCCATTGAATTAGAAAAGATAATGCCATTTAGAAACATCGGAAGATACATTTCTCTCACATGGTCTAATTATAATTTGGAAATAAGAGAGATTTGTAATGGGATTGCAGAAGAGAGAATGCCTTCTTCACCAAAGAGCAGAAGAGATCCAGAATTAAGTGTTGAGTTGGAATTCTTTGACAAGGAAATGCCTGCTTTTGACTTGGACGATTTGCTAAGATCATCCGCGGAAGTTTTGGGGAAGGGAACGCTGGGAACTAGCTATAAGACCACACTTGAAACAGGTCAAAACCTTGTAGTGAAGAGACTGAAAGACATGAAGGAGTTGAGCAAGAAGGAATTTGTGCAGCAGATGCAGTTACTTGGAAAGAAAAGGCATGAAAACCTTGCAAGGATCGTGTCTTTCTACTACTCCAAGGATGAGAAGTTAGTTATCTATGAGTTTGTCCCTGACGGCACTCTGTTTGAGCTTTTACATGGTAAGCACATAATTTAATTCTTTTCTTAATTTAGTTAGCTATCAGACTCTGCTAATTAACTCTATGGTGCTAAGGATTCATTGGCTATCACTTAGATACCTAAAATTAGATTAGATATAAGAAAGCATTTTTTGGAATTCAAATAAATGCGTGCACAGGAGTCTCTGTGCAAGAGAATCCATTATGTTTTTAATGTCCTATTTTTTTTTAAAAAAAAAATAACTTAAGTTACAACTCAAATTTTTTTATAGGAAGAAAACACTTGTAAAAAAAATTGAATTTAAATTTTTATAAAAGAAAACACTATAGTAAAAGAACTTGTGTTTTGATTTGAGTTGTGAAAAAAACAAGATTAAAATAATAAATAAAAGAAAGAAAGAGACCTACTATGAAAAGCAATGTTAAAGTTTTTGTCTTTATGTTATTTCAATTTTTACTCATCTTTAATCAGTTTTCCTTTTTCTATTCGTTTCACTTTCTCTATTCTTTTTAGTTTTTAGTTTTTTTTTTCATCTCTATCTCAAGTTTCTGTCATTCACTTTAGAAATTTAAACATCGTATAAATATGAATTTAGATAAAAATTACTATATACTCTCTTAAATTTCTGCTATTAGTTTTTATTCCATTTTCTGCTACGTTTTTTTTTTCTTAAATGTAATATTTATATAAAAACGTTTCAGTTATCCCTCAAAATTTGTCTTATAGTATTTGAACCATACTTTTATATAAATTCATATTATGGACGATAAATAGAGATTAATACTTTAAAAAAATAGTTGCACTCTTATTTAACTTAAATATTGTAGTTTAATTGTGCCCTCACCGACAGTACTGCACCATTACTTTAGGCCGATTGAAGTTGGCCCGTTTAGTTCGCTGATTCGACTATTTAATTCGAGTTAAAATGTGACTTTATGTGAGAGATTTTTACTGTAATAAAAAAGTTAGATGTGACTGTTTATGAGAGTTTTTTACTGTAGTAAAACTCAAATTTTAAACTCAAATCGGTAAAATAAATGGTGTTACATCTAATCTAAAACATATATATGATGAGTTTCGTATAGCTTCTCTCACACTACACTATTCAATGGTTATTTTTTAAGCCTTTTTGTTTTATTGTTTAGCTATTGTTTTGCTTCTTTTGTTTTATACTTTTATTTGATTTTCCATTTTGTTTTAATTATCCCAAATGTTTTACATTTAAAATTTATGTTTCTAATTTTTTTCCTAAGAGAATAATATTTTCTTACTAATATATCCACTTAATTATTTTTTATAACCCTCTAAAATATGTTTTAGACAGATATTTTAAATACATTTTTTTAATGTACACTGGAAATATTTTTTCATTGATATGCTTTATTAAAATAGCTTTTCTCAAATGCAGTCATGTTTATGTTTTTTTTCTTACAATTCTCTATTTTTTTTTTTCAAAAATTAGCCGTTATAAAATGTTTATGTTACTGGTGTTTTTATTGTACTTCTGTTAAATACTATTTTCTCATATATATCCCCTAATTAGCTTTCTGTTTAACTTGTCTTAACTAAAATCTATTCTTGCTTAAATATGGTATGCTTATTTAATTCTATGCTTATGTAGTATTAGATTGAAACACATATTTTGATACGTTCATTTTCGTAATTAAAATTATATATTTTTAAAAGTGAACGCACTAAATACACACATGCACCTGATATTTAAACTAATATATATACACATGCTAAGATTGTTCGTGTTCAAATTTTGTTGTGAATGAACAGAGAACAGAGGAGTAGGAAGAGTACCACTGAGCTGGGCAGAAAGATTATCAATCATCAAAGACATAGCAAAGGCTCTTACATTCCTTCACCATTCTCTACCACATCACAGAGTTCCCCATGCAAACCTCAAGTCCTCCAACGTCCTAATACAACGCAACCCTCAAAACTGTTGCCATTCTAAGCTCACAGATTTTGGCTTCTTGCCTCTCCTGATGTCCTCCAGCAAATCGTCGGATAATCGTATGCTGGCCGTCGCAAACTCGCCGGAGTATGCACAGGGCAGGAAGCTCTCCCACAAAGCCGACGTCTATTGTTTCGGCGTGGTCCTTCTAGAGATCATCACGGGGAGAATCCCCGGCGAGATCTCGCCGGTGAGCCAGGAAACGATGGAAGATCTCTCGGATTGGGTTAGAATGGTGGTAAACACAGATTGGTCGACGGATATTTTGGATGTTGAGATAGTTAATGCTAGAGAAGGACACGATGAAATGTTGAAGCTGACTGAGATTGCACTTGAGTGTACGGACGATGTACCAGAGAAGAGGCCTAAGATGAGTGAAGTTTTGCAAAGGATTGAACAGATTGAGCAAAAGCAAGAGAGAATGAATGAATGAACGATCATGGAGTAGAAAACCCAGCCGTGTTGAAAGCTATTTCATGGTCGTAGGATTATCATATGACTTTTGTCCAGGAAAAATGGTGGACTGGTAGTGTGATATCAGACAGGAAAAATGCTTATGGCATCACAGATGTCAACCAATAGAAAATGAGTTCTATATGTGTGCCACATACTTCTATAAGACCTACGGTCTATTAGTCTGTGTGGCACCCAACATTAGACCACTGATATAAGAACAGGTCATAATATTTTGTATTTATTGTTATTTTTAAGCAGCATCGCAGTTGTTTATATATATATATATATATATATATATCTATTTCATTGTTAAAAAAAATGCTGGTTCCACGATTTTGGATGACCAATACACGCTCAATGAATGAAGTAGAAGTACTTTGCTAGCTAATTAGACAACAGAGATATATATATATTTTTTTAGGGTAACTAGTTTTGAGGACGTGCGGACGTATTGTATTGTTGTGTGTGAGTCACTTGAGCAGTCTATTAAAGAAACGCATTTTAATTTTAAATACATGACACTAGAAGAGATTAAAGAGAATTAAATATATGTATAGTTTTTTATGAGGCGCATTTAAAAAATTAGATTTTTAAAAAATAGCTGTCGAATGTTGTACTTTCATAAATAAAATTGAACATGCTAAAAGAAATATTTTGAAAACATGCATATGGAAAAGAAAACATGCATCATTATTAAAGTAATGTTTTTTTTTCTTGAAATATAAAACAAATTTAAAAATAAATCACATAGAAAACTAACTATGGCTTACATATGAGAAGGAAAAAAAAAAATTTGCTTAAAGGGTATATTTGAGAGAAAATATTTCAGTAGAGTAAAAAAGAAAAAAAAATAGTCATATAGAGGAGGCATCACTATTTCAGTAGTTTTTTTTTTAAAGATAAAACATATTTAAAAACAAATCACATAGAAAACTAATTAAGATTACATATGAGAAAGAGAAAAATGTTTACTTAAGGGTATATTATAAAAAATATTTCAATGGAATAAAAAAGGAAAAAAAAAAAGTCAAAATCATGCAACCTAAAGAACTAGTCAAAAGCCCAACATATGTATTACCAAAATTATCCCTAATGGTCAAAAAGGTAATCTATATGATCACCACCAATAAATTACTAGATGCCGCCGAGAGGCAATCTCTGCTCAGTGGTCACCAGTCGACAGTCGTTGGTCGTTCATCTACTAAATTATGTTCTATAATCTGTCAAATTGTTTTTTTTATTTTTTATTTTCAAACAAAAATGATAGGTTTGACTCCAGCTCTGGCGTCAGTTGCTGCCTTCGGCGCCTGCTGCCGTAATTTGTCAGATTATGTTTCATAACCTGTTAGATTTTTTTCTATTTCAAGCAAAAAATGAGATTTTGTCTCCGGCTACAACATCAACATTGGCGTCAGCCATAGGCTGTTCAAATATGTTTCATAACCTACCAGATTATTTTTCTATTTTTACCAAAAATAAAATGATAGGTTGTCTCCTGATTTGGGGTCGTTCGCCGCTTGCCGATCACCAACCATAGTATGGAAGATTATGTTTCATAATCTACTAGATTATTTTAGTATTTTCAACCAAAAAATGGTAGTTTGCCTCCAACTTAGGGGTTGGTCATAAGTCATTGGCACCACCGCCGGTCATAATATGCTAGATTATGTTTCATAATCTGTTTGATTATTTTTCTATTTTCAACCAAAAATTGACAGATTGTGTTCAGCTCCAGCATCGGTCACCAACCGCCGGTCATAATATGCCAGATTACGTTACATAATCTAATAAATTATTTTCTATTTTCAACAAAAAATTGATAGTTTGTCTCCAACTTCGGCATTGGTCGTTGATCACCGATCGCCAGTCATAATCTGCCAGATTATGTTCTATAATCTGCAAGATTATTTTTCTATTTTCAACTGAAAAAGACAAAGTTATCTCTGAGTCCCACATCAATTGTCAGTTGTCGGTCATAATCTGCCAAGATTATATTCTATAATCTACCAAGTTATCTTTCTATTTTCATCTCATCTCATAATTTGCAACAACAACGCCTCCTAAAATACAATAATAAATCTAAAAAACAATAAAGTATTCATAATCTACAATAAAATCATATAAACCAAATTACAATTTATTTGTCTATCCAAACACCGTTTTGAATCATAATTCAAATCACCATAATTTAGATTCTACATTTCAAACCAAGAGGTTTTAAATCACCACAATTTGAACCCACGAACCAACACGGCCTTAATTTTTTTGAAAACATAGAGGTTGAATTGTATATATTTTGTCCCTGACTATAACGTCATATACTATGCACATTATATTTTTGGATTAATTATAAAAATTCTCCTTAAATTATGACCCTTGTAAGCCCATGATCTATAAAATGTAACATCTGTTCCCTGAATAATGAAACATTAACAGAAAGGCCCCTTTGTTAGGGTTTTGAACGGAAATTTAGATTATTGGCATCGACAGATATGAGTGATGGGCAGAGAGTTGTTGTTAACAAGTGGCAGTAGTGAGCTCCGGTATTAGGACGGAGGCCGTAGTCGATGAAGATGGGAGTATGCTTGAGAAGATGAAGCCATTTTTTTTTTAATTTTAACGTATTAAAAGCAAATTAGGGTTTAGAATATATATAAATGTAAGAGTAATGTTATAATAAATATCTCATCCACCATCATTATATTTTTGACACCTGTAAATTTTGTTAACTGATAGAAGGAGGATTTTTATTAACATTTCAAAAATAGCGAATATTACGTTTTTAAGATTGAAGGACAAAGTGTTACAAAGATCATAGGGGAAATTTTTATAATTAATCATATATTTTTCATTCCAATTATATTAGAGAACCCAATAAATAACTATTGTTGCTATTAAAAACTGCTTCAAGAAAATGTTTATCTGTAAAATTAGATCGGAACCAAATATATACACAAACTTCCAAGCGTACCATTAACTTGAAATCTTAAACCAAAAGTCGAAATGTTGTAAATCAAATGCATTGGATATTGACACCTCTTGATATTCCATAACATTCATATTAAACCCCTGATTAGATCATATTATCTTCCCATTATGTCTCTCTTAAAATAGTATACTATTACTGCATTATTCTCTCTTAATTTTGTATGTAATTTGTGTTTTTTTCCAGTGGTCTCTAATTAGAGGTTGTGTTAGCTTGTAATATCATCCCTCACAAATTATAAGAAAGGATACTAAATTTCTTTTCTCTCATATTTCTCTTGTGCTCTTTATTTTGTTCTTGTTAGTTTCTTGTAATATTTAGTTTTTACTATTATTTAATAACACATTATCAGCACGAGTTCTATCTGTGGTTTCTTTAAACGTTGATTACCTTGATTTGTAGTTTTTTTTTCTCAAGGTATTGTGTACATATATACTTTCTTTGGTACTACAAAAAATAGTTGATTTTACGACACATATTAGACGACGATTTTTGTTGAATTCGCCGTCTATGTTCTATTAAAAACACATGAGTGTATTAATGGACAATAGATGACAGTTTTTACAAAAATTGCTGTCCATAGTTCAAACATTAGATGACAATTTCGACGAAAGTTGTCTTCTAATGTAACCGCGGACTCAAATACTTGAGTCCTTTCTCTCTTTCTTCGAAACACTAGCAAAACCCTCTCGTGCCACTCTCTTTCTCTCTCGTGAGCTCCGCCGTAGTGTGCACTAGTGTATCTTGCTAAACAAACTCGAAGACATTGGAATGGTGTTAAATAGATAATTTGTTATCTACATGGAACACCAGATATGGGTTTTTTTATTGGAAGTATTCAAAGTCAGAGTTGATTGGATATGCATATACTGGATATTTTTCAGATCCACATAAATCACGGTCACAAACAGGGCATTTGTTTACATATGGTGGTATTGCTATATCTTGGCACTTACAAAGAAAACTCTTACCGCCGCATCTTCGTATTATGCTGAAATATTGGCAATTCATGAGGCAGGTTGAGAATGTGTGTCGTTAAGATATCTGGTGTAGCATATAAGAGAAACATGTGATCTTTTTGTTAGCGTTTATGCTCTTAGAAATAAATGTAACAATATTTTTTGAGACATTTTGACTATTAATAAAGATTTATTTTTTTTCATATATCTTTGTATTGTCCTTTTTACGTTCATATTAGTTGAATGTACGATAAGTAAACTGGAAGTCTGAGACTGTCGTTCTAAGTCTTTAGATCGTGCATGTAATGAAAAGAACATGCAGAAGACGTGAATATAAAGATGATAGTGTTAGGAATAATGTACTTAAAGCATGAGATGTAATAAGGATATTTATTATTTAACTAATAAAATAGTTTATTCATTATTTATGTGCATGTGTTATTGAATACTTTATGAATATCATTGAAAATTCCGTAATTATTTATGTGACCTTAAATATTGTATATATGTGTTATATACGAGATGATAGTATTTAAGGATAATAATCGAAATAATGTTTGTAATGAATTTAATTAGAGTTACAGAATCTTTAATTAAAACATTTCTAATACACGTCATTCCCATTAAGAATGAAATGGTGTTATCCGCATCATTAAGATAGATGGATATTGAATGAGGTATTATGCATAATAAGATTATGTAGTACTGCGACACATGCACAATTTGATTTTCTGATAATTTCTGTTAAGTATAGAAAATTAAATTTCAGTATACTGATGGTCATATATAGAATGATATTAATCATGAGTTATTAGTAGACTCATATTTATAGATTCGTACTTTTTGACTTACTCGATACAGATTTCGAGATCCTAAATTCTATTCCTTGTATCTTGGAAACATGATGATATGAATAGCTGGGACTACTAATATACAAGATGGAATCCATTCCTTCTTCTTTGAAGAAGTAGATAAATAATTCCCTTGAGGATTGATTCGGTACTTGAATAAGTAACGAGCTCATACTCATGA